GCAGGTCCCTGTGGAGGTGGGGTTGACAAGTTATTTTGGGAGAATCAACACCTGTGGAAGGAAGAGGTTGGGCCAGAGGGAGGTCAACCAACTGCAATTAGACCCAAAAAAACCTTAACTCACCAGATCTCTGGAGCTCACACAGCCCATCAGGACTGTCCCACGGAGGGTGGGGGACAGTGGGGCGGGGTGAGGGGCAGTCGGGGGTGAGCCGTGGGCCGAAATGCCGGACCTTGATATTCCTGCCACCACCAGTCCTGGGATGTGGGCAGCCCTAGGAAAGGCATGTCCTTGGCCAAGGAGGCTGCCCACAGCGGAGGCTATCCCAAGGGAGCTGACGGCTGCAGCCACTTGCACTCGCGACAGCCCGGTCCCGGGAGGGACGCTCGGAGCGCATCTCAGTGACACCCACGAGACTGTTCTGCTCGTAAACAGAAGAGAAGGGACATGACTTGCCCACAGCACCATATCTGGACAGCAGGGGAAAATCAAAATCTGTTTCTCCTTCAGACTTGTTCTCCTAAACTGTGCAACGAAGCCAACGCTTTCTAAACAGAAATCCCAGTGTTCACCAAGGAGATGGTACTAAAGACAGCTGTAAACCCCGAAGGACAGAAAGCAAAGCTAAAGCACAGGAAACCCGAAGCCCCACCTGAGTTGCCCTGAAAGAAACGATCTGCTAAATACGGCCCCAAAATTGAAGGGAAACCAACCAAGAAATGATAAAAAAAAAAGACAGTGAAATTCCACAAGCACAAAAGCTCTCCAAATGTGATTTTATTTCTTTCCAATTCCAAACTGATAACCTCTCTTCTAACAGCCTTAGGGTGCTAGTGCAATTGAAATGTTAGCAGGAAATAATAAACTGCTTTGGAGAGGGGAAGAGGGAAAAAAACAGACAACCCTGAAACTAAAGCAGCTGTAATAACAACAAATTGCCACGAGGAAACAGTGTGTTCTAATTTTGAATTTTGCTTTTCAAGAACAAAGGAATACAACACTAATCATTTAAAAGAGCAAAAAGCTCAGACCATAAAAACAAACATAAAAAGAGTTGCGGAATAATTCTGAGGCAGCTCCTATTCATTAGCTAATTAAAGAAAGCCTGAATTTGAAGTTTCTAAGTGAGCTTTGGTACCTAACATGTAAATGAGGCAGAGGGTACAGTTCAGTGGTCAAACACCTGCTTAGCATGCGTGAGGCCCTGGGTTCAATCCCAGGTACCTCTGCTAAATAAGTAAGTAAATAAACCTAATTATCTCCCCACCAAAAAAATGAAAAAATAAATAAGGTGCAAGTAACTGTGATGCAGCAGGCAGGGCTCTGCCCTGAGCTGGGGACAGGGAGAGTCGGGGGGCCCACCTAGTGAGAGACCCCTTTTACCACCACAGCTTTTGTGGGCCTCACAGTCCCTGAAATATTATTAAAATGGCTTCTCTCCTTTCGGAAGCGCTAACCTGGGCTTGGAAGTCAAACCGACAGGGCTGAAACCAGGCCTCAAGTGCTCCCAGCGTGTGATGGTCACATGGTTCCTTCATCTAAAAATGAAGATTCTAATAACCGTATCTCGCAGACGCAGCTCAGAACAGGAATAGCGAATCCTGACAGCCTGCTCAGAGCAGCCTCTGACACCGTTACTTCCTCTCACTATCACTATCACTGCAGTGGCTGCTGTCACTCTAAGGGACATCCAGATTGCTGGTACCCAGACAGGCTGACTGAGACAT